GCAGGAATGACAAAGCAACTTTAAACCTCCTAGTCTGGCTGAAAGGAGCACGTTCAAAACAACACGGAGGTACTGAAGATGACTCTGGATGAGCTATCAGAAGTTGCAAATCACTATAACGTGACATGGCTTTGCTGGTTCCCCATGTAGCAGCTATCCCATTCAGATCTCACCCTTTTTTTCCTGTGTGATGTTGCTTGCCTGGTGTGAATGTACACCACAGACCATATCTATATCCCGGTAACCTTGTGGCAGAGTGTTTCTCTGAAGTGGATTTTAGCCCAGGCTAACTCCATGATAGTGCCTGATTCTGTTTACATTCATAACGTCTCTGGTAGATTCACACAGCAGATAGGTTGTTCGTAGATCTTTAGTTTCATGAAAAACTTCAGTGGTGGTTTTTTTCCTGATTTTCTCTATCTTATATTTTTTTCTTGTGAAATGGAAAGTAGATAGGCCTCTGCCTGTGGATGATTAATTACTCTATAACAAAGCAGCTGTGGAGCCTGACAAGATTACTCTCAGATTACAGTCTTAAAATAGTGGATGGACTTGATGTTCTTCCTTCCAACCATCTTACAATTGTTGTCATAAGAATGAATGATAATTGCATTGCTCTGTATTGTCACTACATTTCTCGTCATATGAATAGGTTCATTTAGTGCCACCATGTTGGGTTGTTATGAAAATGAAGCATCTGAACTTAAGACTGTTAAATCTTTTCCTCTCTGATCAACAGCCAAATCCCAGGGTCCAAGCACAGATTTTAAGTAAATGCTTTACATACTATAGTTGCATCATGTGGTTACAAGCTTTACAAAAATGCTGCAGGGTTGCCCATTACTTCTTCATACATGAGAGAGAGATGTGTAAGTTTGTATGTTTTAGGATAAAAAGGGATTGCCCCTAAAAGGAGCAAGTAGCAGAGTTAGGAGTGGAGCTGAAGTCTTCCATTTTTCCATGCCATAGTTAGTCAACTAAGGTTTTGTTTTTTTTCAATAAAGATACTATGCAGAATATCTTGGGTTGGGGACAAGAGGTAAGAAATTCGCATTGTTGGGAGTCACCAGGCACATAGGTACTTCAAGGTTCTTCAGAGATATAGAAGATCTGTTTTACTATAGGCAGTAACTGAATTAACTAAAGCTGAATGGTTGAGTAAATCTGCAGATGAAATCTAGACAAAATAACAAAAACAACCAGGCAAAGAAAAATGTCTCAGATTAGTTTGGTTCAGCATTAATCTTCAAATATAGACTACTGGATTTTTATTTTTTTTTGTAGTCTAAATGTACAAATCAACACTAACCCTAAAATCAACTTTATGCAGAAGGCTTGACAGAAAAATTCATCCTGATTTAGTAAGCACAGCTCCACTGAGATAATGGTGATATTTAAGCTGAGGATAGGACTCAGCTTTCTAATTTGCCAGCAACGTATGAAATGATCATTTATGCTGGCACTCCAGTGAGATATGAATTGGAAGACAAATATAAAAATGACAAAGCAAAGCTTGGTTGCCACTTGAAAGGTGGTTCATTTAGTTTGATTTGCTTTGCAGTTTGGTTGCATTCATATACACACACTGAACCATATTCAAAAGAGGTCAAGGTTACCTTTTTCTTTGCATGGCCCTCTGTTTGCTGGTTTCTTGATTTTCTCTGGAAAGCATGCTTTCTTTTGTCCCCAGAAGACCCCTTTCCTTGATAGGCTTCGATGTATTTTGTCTGTTCTAATAGCCCTCTGTAACTCTGATTCCCCTGTGCCCTTGATTATCGGTAGACACAGATTACGGAATTATTCATCTTTGGTACAGGTAAAGGGGCGTGTATTACCTGCAATTTATATGGCTGAAAATGAGGTAACAGTAACAAAAGAATATATGAATAACTAGATGAAGGCCAGTCTGATGATTATATGGTCTTTCACACACACCTTTGTGTAAGTGTATATTGAATATAACATCTGTACGTTGCAAAGTCTGCACTTGAAATTAATTGGTGCTTTCCCTGGATCTGTGTTTCTCTCAGGACAGATATCAGTGGATGGATTTATGCGATATCTGAGTGGAGAAGAAAATGGCGTTGTTCCACCTGAGAAACTGGATTTAAATGAAGATATGTCTCAACCACTGTCACACTATTTCATCAATTCCTCACACAACACCTACCTCACAGGTACAGTGTTGGAGAGATCCAATTTCTTATCTTACAAAAATTCATAGCATATTTGTAGTGATACTGTAAAATATACTAAAAGCATCAGCAGTAAATGGTGATGGAGCTTAGTCTTCAGGGAAGCAAGGGTGGCACTTGATTGTTGTTCTAGCTGCTACACACAGACATCAAATATACTTTTATTAACAGATGAGCAGCAGTTGCATTGTTCAGATAAGGTCTGGTCTGAAGCCCAGTGAAGTCCCTGGAGAGTGTCCCTCAACTTAGATAGGATTCCAGATTAAGGTCCTTATTTGGGGAAGAGAGGGAATGATGTACTTCTTAAGATAACCAAGGATAGCCAAACAAGTATGCGAAGCAGAATATGGGAAACATCCCTGTAGCTAATAAATTTGTCCCTAAACATTACATATGACAGTTTGTTGAGCTCCATGAAATTTGCTTTGATTCAAAGATCAGAGAGGTCCCAACATGGCACATAGCTTTCTGACAGTGCATTCATATCTTCAAGGAATGGAAATCAGGTCTCTGCCTATATCTAACGTCTGAGGTGAAATTTTTAGGTGCTATCATGTTTGTAGAAAGACTGAGCACCCAGAAGCTCCTGTTAACTGGAATTAGAATTAATGAGTCTGAACTGTATTGTTTGCACAACTAAGTCAACAATGCTTTTAAGATTCTGAAAAAAATAAGACAGTTTAGGAACCCAACCTTTGGCACTGGTTTTCTAGTCTAAGATGCTGTTAACTTGTGGGAAAATAATTGTAAATTCACAATTTTAGTTTAGTTTATGTAAGAACAAACACTTTTGGCAAGCAGATGTGCACAGGGTGTTCTCTTATTTGATTTGATGTTTGCTTGGTCTTGTCATCTTTGCTAATGTCTTAGCATTATGTAAAAAAAAAAAAATAAAATAGTGCTCCAGTGCTTGCTAAAAATGTGGCTCATGGATAATGTAGGCTTTTCAATGGTATTAACAGACTTGCCTTGACTGACCCAGCTCTTCAGAATGCCTGTATGCCAAAACATAAAGAAAACCATGCAGTGGTGATGCCCAGTTTAAGCGGACCATGTGGTAGTTACTTAGGTCTGTTTTGTGTTTGTTATAGCACTTTCTACAGCACCTTCTAGCGCTTGCACAAAGTGAATGAACTGTCATTGTTTCCATTAGACACCATTTTTCAGAGGTTTATATCTTGGCTGTAAAATGTGTTTTGTGCTAAAACTTGTCATGTAAGTATTTGGCTTGACAGCTATTTTGTTTCTGTGAATTAAAAGAAATGAAAATCAGCGCGGCCACCTTTAAGTTATGATTCCAATATGCAGAAATTTATGTTCTTTGGAAGATTGTAGACATGTCTAAAGCAAAAGCAATTTTTAATTATGATATTTTGCAGGCCTTTTACCTCCAGTATGGACTTTGTTCTGTCAGTGAGGACTAGGTCCCACTTAAGCCAAATGCTGCAGCTTTATACAGATTTTCTGGAAGAAAATAGTAAAGCTGTTGTACAAATGTGGGAAGCACAGGCCCACGGGGAGGACAGACAGTGCAGTTTAAAGTTGGTCTGAAGAGATAAAATACTGCTCTCCCCTCTACCAGCAGAAATTTATAGCCAGTACCATACCACAGATCTTTATCAGGGGTGATCAGGACAGAGTCATGTTCTAAAGGTCTAGAAGCACAGAAGCCAAAGGACAAAGAATTAAGGATGGAAATTTATGATTAGTCCAACCCATTCTCAATTTTTAACTGCACAGCAAATGACATAATTATTTTAGGAGAAAGAAAGTTTACCTTGAAGCTTTTCAAATTCGCTTTGACTTGTATGTGAAAGTCTGCAAATCATCTCAGATTGCATCTACAGATTTCTTTGCCTGCATTTCTAAATAATTTCAGAAACTACGTTTGGAAGTATGATCCTCGGTCTTAATTTAACATAATAATCCTGACTTAGTAAATTGGGAGGAGTAAATCAGAGTAAACTCAGGGGATAGTGCAAAGTAAGTTTTAGTCTCTTTCAGTTCCATTTCTGAGTGTGTATTTTCACATTTAGAGGCACAAAACACGTGCCCTTCCCTTTTAGAGGGTTCATTACGTTCAGTAAATATGTGGCAGCTGGCTGACAATGGGATTAATGAGGTGATTTTTATCTGTGTATTACAAAAACTGACAGCCTTAGATTTTGCTTGGAGGCTAGACCAAATACAGCAATCACATTGCCATTTGCTTTCTTCCAACAAGGACTTAGTTCAGCTGAAACCTGTAAAATTAATGGTGGCAGACTCTTCTTTTTCCCAAGAAGATTTTGAAGAGTCTGCTTGAGTGCTCATGACTTTGGAAGGGAAGCTTTGGTAGCACCTCTGCCCTCATTGGAACTGTGAAATAGCAACTAGTCATGTAATAATTATTAGGACAATAAGAAAACCGTTCAGTCTAGCAACACTTTATGATTACTGTGCTTAATGCCCTACCAGTTATCTGTCCTTTTGTTAGTTTTTTAAACCCAGAAAAAGCATGCGCAAAGAAACAACATTATAACATAAAAAGAAACATGTGCACACTCTGAATTTATTTTTGATTACCCTGTTCATTTTCCTACCCTTTAGTAGAAACCCTTGGCAGTACATCAAGTCCTGATTATTTATTTAGAAGTGTTACTGCTTTCTTTTTCTTAGGGAAATGTAATTTTTAAGAACAAAGGTAAAAATCCATGAAGAAAGAAGTGATTTACAGTGAACCTAGGCTAGCTTAAAGAAATGTCATCTTTTGGAAACTTTTTTTAACTGTCTTCTCATCTTTTTTCTCACTGGTATCGTATTTATTTATTTACTCCTTTGAACCCTTAATGTGCAACCCTGCTTTTTTTCTGGTTTCTCACCAGTCTCACCTCAGGTTACTTCTGTTGTCACAGTGGGGAGTGACTTTGCAGCATTTCTCTCAGCAGCACCCGAAGTCAAAGACAAATGATTAAGTATCATCAGTAGCATTGAACACTTTGATGGCTATGCAACTTGCTGTTGTATATGTGAAATGCAAAATATGAAAATCACAAGCCTTTAATGCATGTTTTGTCTTTGGCTAAAAGGAAAAATAATAGCAGCAGAAGCTTGCAGAGCTATCAGTTTAGCGCATATAGGCAACGTGGGACTATACCACTCACCCTAAGTACCTGCTTCCCTGTTTACAGTCCAGTACTTTCAGTTGTTTCTAGATAAATATCTCATGAGGGTCATGTTCTCTTCTTCTTTATTGCTGCTATGGCCTCTCCTCTACGGTCCTCCAGCTTTTCTGTTCTCAGCGATTCCTCCGTCCTAACTGTTGCTGCTTATTGTCCGCATTCAACACTTCCTTGAAGCTGCCTTCACCTTCAAAGCTTCCAAGACAGTATCTTCAGTTTCCAAGATCACAGCACTGTATGGAAGGGAAGGAAAGCTTGGCAGTGCCTGCTCTGAGCATGAGTTTGTCGTACCACCAGGAGCAGTTTCTGGCTGGCTGCTTTGTGCCTCTCTAGCTGCACTGAGCCCAGGTGATCGGCTGGCAAGACCCAAGGCTCTGCTCTCTTCCAGCCCCATCACATCCTTCCCAATGGACTAGAGGGTAGGAGAGCTGTGGGAGCTTGAGAAGCTGAGCTGAGGAGGAGCCGTAGCTGTTCTCTCACCAGCAGAGCCAGCTAATCCTGTCCAGGCAGATAAATGAGGTTCTTCCTGGCACTGGGGTCATGGTTTATCTTAGCATGAGGGCTAACGGGTAAAAAGGAGGACTAGTGGTTATTGTGCAGCTCGTCTGTCCATCAGCAGTTTCTAGGGGTGTGTTTTTATGTTCCAGCTGTCGTCATTTTTCATGATTCCCCTTCGGAATATCGTAAAAGCTTGTGTAACACTGAGGAAAAGGTCTGAGTTTTCAGAGATGACGTTAATTTGAACACGATGACTTCACCTCAAAGGAAGGAAGCTACAGAGTACAATCTGCCCACTGTGGCCAATTCAGTGCAACTGTGGAAGCAGCTTCCACAGTTACATTGTTGAATTGACATAGCCATTAAAAAAAACCCATCAGTGAAGGGAAAGCTGTTGTTGCTTCACAAAATGGGAAGATGATCTGTGTGGAAGGTCTTAGATGGAACTTTCTGAGATACCAGTTCAGTGCCCTGCTCTCAAAATAAATCCTATATATAAAAAATATCCTGTATAAAAAAAAATCCTATATATAAAAAAAATAGCTTCAATAAGATGGTGATTTCCATCTGCCTGACTCTCTCTTGCATCTTCCTCTGTGGCAGTTTGGCTTTTGTGAGAAGTTGACTACTCAGTTAAGCAGACTCTGAGTAAAAATTCCTTGGGTCTTCTGCTCTGTGATGTTTTACATGACTGCTCTAATTTTGACAGCTGAATGTTCCTACTAGCACTGTTAAATCTCAGTTCATCTTTTTATTGTCCTAAGGAGTACCTGCCCTCCCTTACCTTCTTCATCCATGCCGTTTCCCTCTTTCTGAAACCATATTCTAAGTGAGGCAGTTTCTACTTTTAAAAGTGAGCTGAAACCTTGTAAAAGGGAGAGAAAAATCATATAGATTGTCTCTTGAAGGCAAAATTAATTATTATAATAGAGATCAGCAGCTGACACCAAAATTTCTAGAGGAAGCTTGCCTCCAGTAGCAGCAGAGGTGACCATAAAGAGTTTAAAAAAAGTATTGTTTGGTCAGATCTGAGCTACTGGATTCTCAAGAAGGGAAAAAAAAAAGATCATGAAAGTGTTTTGTTTCCTTTAAGTAATATTTCATTCACTGCTACTTAGTGAGTTTTCAAGATCCTCTGTGCCTTCTCTTATTTGCCTCCTTAGGCCAATAAGTTAAAGCATACTTAAATAAGAGATACGTTATTTTCTAAACCCCCCTCTTTAAGGAGAATAAAATTGTGTTGAGGATTGGGTAGCCCCTCTGACTCCAATAGCAGCATTTGAAGATCTTCCAATAGCTGAAATCTGTAAGACAAAGATACAGAGAGCTTGCAGCAGGGGAAGGGCTCTGTAAGTGGGTCCCAGTGGGTCCCACTCCCTGACTGCAGTTGGAGAGACTCAGCTGGTCACACAGTGTGTCTTTCTCAAGTGGGTCCCACAGCTAGGACAAAAGGGATACGCCATGCACCCCGTGCCAATTTCTCTCACGGACATAGTGTCCGTCACATAGCCTGGCTGCAGCGTGGGAGGTGCCCGGGAGCTGCTAGCCGAAACACAAACTCAGAGGCTGGCCAGCCCCAGCCCTCCTGGCGTACGCAAGTGTTGCATCTTCTGCTTGGGTGGGCCCGAATTGATACTGACAGCAAGTGTATTCCTGCTGCTGGCTGGAGCAAGCCTGACCGCATGTCCTGCTTTGGTCCAATGTTAAAAATAACAGCCATAGGGCGAGAGCCTTATTTTGACTTATATACAAGCAGTAGCAGAGTATGTCACAGCGTGGGGTCTGATTCACTTGTCCTGTGCATGGCGAAATAGCTCGGAAGGAAAATAAATTCAGATAAATGTACTGTGTCTAAAAAAAAAAAAAACTTAATCACCAGCACCTTCTGTTGCTGCTGGAGTCAAGAGCCAGACTCGCAGCAGTACGAGGGTCTGAGTTTGCACGCTGCAAACTACAGCTTATGATCCAGAGCACTGGTTGCTTTTCCAGGACTTGTGTGAAGAGAGGAGGTTTAGCAACTTGTATTTGTGCACGGCAAAGGGAGTATACAGGCACTTCGTGCCGGGAGAAGGTGGTGCCATGGGTAGGCGAGGGGGCAGAAGCAGCCTCTGTTTCTGGAGTAGTGAAGAGTCAGGTGACTCCAAATGCCTGGATCCCAATATCCCTCAGTTTTAGGAGGATACATGACATAAAATCATAAACAAATTTTAAATCCATGTATTGCAAATAACATGCACTTGGAAAAGCAGTGATGAATGAACCCAACAAGGATGCACTTGCTGAGAAATGAGCATGTTAAAGTTATAAAGTGTGGAACTGATCTGTGTGGGGAAACGTGCGTCATATCCTCATCTTATATCAATTAGCACAGGCTCATTTTGCCTAGTGTCCTGTCAGGTATGATTTGGCTGATTATATTTTTAGAAAAGCAAGTTTTTGTCAAAATCTGTTTCTCCTTACCCAACGGAGGGGCTTGGGATACAAATATTATGGTATTACTGTAGATGCTGTATGTATTATAGAAGGGAATACATAAAGTTTGCCATTTCCAGTATTAAAAAATTGATCTGTACTCAGGATATTAAAAATATCATACTGGAAGTATTCCCTTTAGTCTTTTAGTGTCTGTGTTAGCACATTTTGGAATGTATCTGTTAAAGGGGTAGTTTGGAATAGATACAGATAGAGACTCACACAACAAAAGTTTATAAATAATACATGCAAAAAACATTTGAGGGGACATTCCTAATACTCCATATTTCAGAAGAATAAGCTATTGAGACTATTAAAATGTTTGCTAGCATTTTGCACTCTGACTTGGGAGTCTTTCTGAAGATTGAATGTTTTGGAGGTTGAATATCCTCAGC